TAGTCTCTGAAGCATTCTGGGATGGCTCAGAAAAGCAAGCACCTTATAAATGTACATGGTACAAAAACAAAGTCCCATTTAGATACAATTACTAAATGTCACGACAGTCTTAAGGCATGTCTACACTGCACCGTAGGTTGAAATAAGATACACAATTTGAGCAACACAAATTGCATATCTATTTCAGTCTTATTTCAAAATACAGGCAGTCCCCGGGTTACATGGATCCGACTTACATCGGATCCCTACTTACAAACGGGGTGAGGCAACACCGCACTAGCTGCCCCCCCCCAGCAGACTAGGGAGACGCGGAGCGGATTTTCTTAGCAGACACCTCAGCTTGAGAATAAAGGACTGAGGGAAGTGAGGTGTGGGAGAATAAAACTGAGCTCTGGAGAAATGTTTGGCTAGAGTTTCCCCTACAATATGTACCAGTTCCGACTTGCATACAAATTCAACTTAAGAACAAACCTACAGTCCCTATCTTGTACGTAACCCGGGGACTGCCTGTAGATTATTTTGTAATTTGGTGCTACCTACACAGAGCCAAATTTTGAAATAACCCACTATTCCAAAACGACCCTTAGTTCCTGCGGAATGAGGTTTACAGGGACATCAGAATAGCGAGTCCATTATATTTTGAAATAATGGGCATGTTGTGAAGATGCGGGATAGCTATTTTGGGATACTCTAGTATCCTGAAATAGCGCTGCAGTGTAGATGTAGCTTCACTGAGTGCATGTCCCCATTATATTATGATACAACTTTTTCAGAACAAGAATTAAAATTCTCAATGGAGAAGCCTCAGTGATTTCTTCTTGCTTTTTAAACTGTAATTATTAGTCATCATTGATCCTCAGGTGATGGAAGCTAAGAAAATATACAGCGATGGGTGCCATACAAAACCTGAAAAGAGACTCTCCCAAAGGCAATCCCTATTAAACCCCAGAAGATGATGTTATAGCTCAGTTGGAACACATACATAATGTGTCATTCCTTATAAATACTAGTCTCAAAGCACATTACTACTATATTCACAAATTCATTAAAGGTCTCACCAAGGGTAGAGCTGATGCAATAGTTAAGACACTATTCGAACACTTAGACTTGGGAGATTACCTTCAACTATTTTAAGTGTTTCCTCTTCCACAGGAAACATTTGTTTAAACAGTGAAATAACATTATTCTAATTATTTTTAAATGCAAGAATTAATTAGCAACTGAGCCTGAAGGCTGCACACCACTCTCACAGTATCAATGAGTCTATAAATAGTCACACTTTAAAGTTGATTTGGTCTGTGTGTGCGCGTGCATGTAGGAAAGGGGAACGGGAAGGTATGTTTGATTACAAAGTCAAAAGTTTTTTGCGGAGAGTTACTTGGTGAGAAGCCAGAATTTAACCTCTATCTTAACCACTTCAATAGTTCATCTGCTCATACAGATTTTATGATTGTGGGTCCAGAAAAACACTTAAGCATGTCCTTAACTTTACGTATGTGAATAGTCTCACTGAAGTCAAGCACCTATAAATAAAAATGCTATTTTACCTTTATTTGGGAAGGGTAACACAAGGAGCAGGATAAGAGGAAATATGCAGGAATCTGATCTTGCATTAATGACATTGCAGCATTTCAGCCACTAAGTTACTCCTGATATCACAAATATTTTATGATATCAATAACATAAGTAGTATTGCATTTAAAGAATACACCATTTCTACTATGTCCTAAAGAAAGTAAGCATGAATGAAAAGGGCTTGCTACTGTTTAATGCAGATGTCTCAGCTTAGAGGTTAACCTTGCTTATGCATCCCTGTCACCTCTCTTTATACTTAAACTATATTATAACAGCTGTCTTCCTTCCATGCACTGCTGCAAAACTTTCAAAATCAATGCAATAAAACGATCTCCAGTGTCAGCAACGGCTACATTAAAAACGCAAATTCAGTATGAATGGTACTCTTAAACTCAGCCTAATCATTAGGAAGCACTGCATACCTTATTACTTTAACATGCAGCGATTTTTATTGCAAGGCAAAATGTAATTAGGCCACAAAACTGACATATCGCCAATTATTTCTTATTGTAAGGCTGTGTTTCAGGGTTCCCTTTGATTTTTCTTCTTAAAACATGTCGCTGTAATCATGGAAATAAAAATACAGCCAGGTTCCATGAGGTATAGAGTGCTTTGGGCCCAGCTCTTAAACTGATACAGGTCTGGGGCTTTCCTGTGCATACAACCTCCTATCACAGTAGCCACACAATGTTTTGCTTATGTTAGAAAATCAGTTTTATTGTGCAAAATTTCCTCTCTTTATATTCAACTGTTCCGTAATTAGAAGATACTTACTCCAATAAGGAACAGCCTCCAATTTTGACCTTGTCAGTGGTGATTTCAAGAACAGTTGTCTTCCCTATAAAATGCTTACACTTGCAGAGAGTTATTCTTAAATAAGAAGTTTTAAAACAAATGTTTTCCTCATATTTTTATAAATATATGTATATTATATGAGGAAAATGTGAATGACAGGAGAGAGGGGAGACAAGATAGAACCCTGAAGAAACCCACATAAAAGGGCTCTTTATACAGATGAGCATTTGTCCAGTTCTCAGAGCCATCCCACAACATTCTGGCACCTGAGGCGGGGAGCTCAAATGGTGCCCCCATTACCCCCTCGCTTGGGCCAAAACTTTGAAAGATCTCAATTCTCTGGGTCCTAGTGGTGCCCCCCCCCCAGTCTGGCACCTGAGGTGGCCGCATCAGTTCGCCTAATGGTAAGGCCAGCCCTGCCAGTTCTACTCTGGGATCTCTCAGAAAAACAAACAAACAAACAAACAAACAAACAAACAAACACCCACACCAACTGAGCCACACTGATTGAAATCCAAGCAAGAGGACTGACTATTCTTTGTCCTTTTCTTTCAGACTTGGCTCTGCACCCATGGAAACAGCTCAAAAGAAATGTTAGCGATCATATTATCAAAGAAACATGAGTGCCTCATAGCATCACCCAGTATGTACATTTTTGTGTGTGTATAAAACCAGTGCAGCCTGCAGTGATTAGGCATTTAGAATACTGAAACAAACAGCTTGATAATATTGATGGTAATGAGCTGACCCTATAAAAACTGCAATCAAGGATGATGTTTAGTTTCTGAATGAGTCAGATCAGCCAACCAATGCAGAAGATGATGATAATTTATGTCTTGTAGAAATACCCAACTTGTAAAAAGTTTGAGTGTTTCTTGAACTCTACAAGCTCACAGGGTAAAAAGACAAAAGAAAAAAAAAAGAAGTCTTGAGTTCAGGATGTAATTTGGACCTTCTAAATAAACTTGAATTCTGGAAGAGAGAGTTGCCTTATCTACTTACGGAGACTCAGTCCAAAAGAAAGATTTGTAACTGCAGTCACTTCAATTTTTGTGCAAAGTGTGCTCTCTTGTAAGCTTTTTGTTTTGTCTTAGTATTATTGTGCCATATTTTAAATAGCATTTGAACAAAATTACAAAGGTTAATAAAATCTGGAACAGAATGAAACTTAAGGTATAATTTACTTCTGTGAAAAGTTTTCATGAGCACAGTATTGGAGTTTTGTACTTATTCCTAAAAACTAGCATGCCCCAACCTTATTTTATACTTGGAAGCAGATGCGTGTAATACCTAGTGTCACCGGGACAACCTCAAGTGTTTCATTAAATATGCTAACACTGCAGTTGTCACCTAGGAAATCCTGGGAATTGGTCAAATCAAGCAACGAATTCTGATTCACAGGAACGAAAGGAATGGATAAATCTGGGAAGTTCAGGCTTGAGAACCAGATTAAAAATGGCTTGCTGCTTATGATGCTAGGTAACTTAATCTTATTAAGTTTCCATCAACTGCAAACTGGTGTAGTGGGGACACATTTTGGTACCAGGACATGACCATAGCAAATTAAGTCAGAATTTAAATCTTATTTGAGTGATTTTTTTAATTAAAATAAACGATTAAAAAACTTGAGAATTAAAACATTATTTGATCCCTCATTCCTCATAAGAATATTTTAAAATGTAAAACAAAAGTTCTTGATAATTACACTATTAAAGTATATTTTACATTTGTGATTAAGATCTACTGTTAAATTATTTATACATGTGTTCTCATTTTATAAATCTATTTACATATATATACACATGCACAGTAGTCCCAATAAGAACCCAGGATCTGAACCACCTCAAAGCAGTATGAAGGAACTATAGAGGAAAACCATGAATTAATTCCGTAAGTTTTAGAATGAGAGCATGTTTTGATTGCTAGTCATTAAGTGCTCAGACTTAATTTTCCCAGCACGAATTCTTATGTATTCATCACTATTACAGAAAAATAACACATTATATTAAAAATGTATGCACTTAATCATTAAGCACACACAAAAGTACAATTTAGACACCATGAATAGAGGTAGACAGATGGAATTCCTGTACAGAATTCAGCAATAAGCAGATCTACCTGGCCAATGTGAACAATTAAGGACTACGAATATACAAAGGACACGGCTATGCCAAAAGCTAGAGATAGCTAACAGCATACCACCAAAGTGTATCGAAATTCATAAGCCAGCTCAGATTGCTGTGACAATTTCAGGTGCCCACTGTTCTGGTCCCTTTTTTTGACAGCCTGACCTGCAATGGTAAGATGTTGCTTATGCCAGACTTTCATTACAGTGTGTATGCCTATATGCAGATGTTCATATGATATGGCTAGGATTTATCTCAAAGATACACCTGCGAATATAGTTCTTCAGGGTTTTTACAGTCTTTCATTGGCTTTCACCATCTAGGAGCCAGACAGTTTTTGCACTATGTTAATATTTTAATCAGTGCTAGAAACTGAGACTTGAGAATGGATTCAGTATTGTGTTATGTTGCTAATAGTTTCCCAGCCTCCATATTAGCACCAAAAATAGCCATGCACATTAATAATTATTTAGTTTCATGAATGTTTCCAGGCAAATGACTCACCCTCCTTCTTCAGAATATTTGTGACCAAAAGCAAGGATGTCAGACGCACGGCCGCTGCCATCACATACCACAACAGGAACAGGCGGAGTGTCTCGTAGGTACTCCAACACAATAGAGATAACATTGGGCCCACCTTCCACAATAAGTGCCACTACTGGAACCCCTTGCCCAATTCCTGGAGTAAAAGAAAGAAACGGGGGAAAAAAAGAAAAGAAAAAAAACCACCAAAACACAAACAAAGCCAGAGATCCAGCAAATAAAATAAAAACACAACCAAAGGGGAAAAAAAGAAAAACAAACGAATAAACTGAAATTACTGCATACTAACTGCATATTGATCTCTTACAGGAAAGGGTATTAAGAAATTGATAGGTTTATAGTTTTAAGGTCAGAAGATACCATTGTGATTGTCTTGCCTGAGTTGCTGTATAACATCATGGGACAGAAGTAATACAACCTGATTTTCAACACCTGTAACGCAATTAGATAGGATTCCTCTGCAAAAGAGGCAACACTTATATTTAAGTCATGAGACTGATGTGGATAGACCAGATTCATCACCTGAGTGAAAATCAGTTTTTCATGCTATATCATTAACAAAAGGTTAATGATATAGCAACTTGTATGGCATGTGCCTTCTTAACAGTAGAACTGGTGACATCTGAAATGGGGTATAGAATAAGGGGCTGAAATTTTCCTGTTCACATTGTTTTTGATGAAAAATCATGAAGGTTTTTTGTGTGAAAAATGTTTACTTTCTGTGGACAATTTAAATCAAAAAACCCAAATGCCCACAAAATGAACAATTTCTATGTGGAAATACTTCCACATGTCATCAGGAGAGATGTACTAGTTGAATTTTTCCCATGCTAGGTTGCCAACTTCCTAATAGCACACACACCCTGTCCCATGCCTTCTCTAATGCTTCATTCCTGATTACTTCATTCTCCCACTCAATTTCACCAAGATGGGGCAGGAGGTTGGGGGTGCATGGGGGTGTGGCTCTGGGCTAGGGTTGTAGGCTTTAGGTGGGGCCAGAAATGAGGGGCATGAGAGAAAGTTCTGACCTGGGGCTGGAGTGTAGACGGGAGTGAGCTCTCTGTCAGGGTGTGTAAGCTCTGGGGTTGGGCCTGAGATGAAGGGTTTGGAGTACAGGAGGTAACTTTGGGCTGGGGCTAAAGGGCTCAGGGTATGGGAGGGAGTAGAGTGTGTGGACTCTGGAGTGGGGTTGGGGATGAGGGGTTTTAGAGTGCAGGAGGGGGTGCAGGTTCCAGTTGGAGTTATGGGCTCTGGGATGGTGCTGGAGATGAGGGATTTGGGGCACAGGAGTGGCCTAACACCTGGGGCAGGGGGTTGGGATGTAGGCTCCAGCAAAGAATTTGGGTGCAGGAGGAGACTCCTGGTGGAGCAGAGG